GACCGAGTGAGCGATACGCTGATGAAGTGCCGATTCCACCAGGCATCTCATCACGCACGCCGAGGTTCGAGTGCTGGCCGCCATTGTGAGCAGCATCGCGATTCCGCAGGGGGCGCCCACTGTCAGCGAGGAGGCGCAATGCGAGATGCAGCCGATAGAGGTCGAATGGGATGGAGCTCATATCCACGACCCCTCCACCTCAGCCCACCACCACCCCGCTCATCCGCCCCCTGCCGCCATGCCCCCCTCCCCCACACCCGCACCCATCCACCCAATCATTCTCTCACTCCCACACCTCCACGCTACAGCGTTCCTTTCCTCCTCGTCCAATCTTCTTCAGTTTTATGCGCGTTGCATGATTGCGCACCTCTCGTAGGCGCAAGCACCCACCGCCCGAAAGGGCAAGGTCCGCGCGGGCAGGGCCCGCGCGGGCAAGTCAGCACCAGTGGCATCGTCGCCCGCATCATCAGCAACATCGGCGACGCAAACATCGCTGAGGAGGTGGATGAAGCCAGGGCTGCATCCCGAGCTGGCGCCTGGCTCACAGGGGGGCGCCGCCACGCAGGAGGACTCGAGCGATGAGTCTGATGAGCGGCCGCTCGTGCCGACGCCGCTCACGGTGACGCCGATCAAGAAGCAGAAGATCAGCACCAGCCCGATCAGCTGCAACAGCAGCCCCGCTGGCGACAAGGGCGACACGCTGGCCGACCTGATCGGGTCAGCCCTTGACGTTCCAGACCCGAGCCCTCTGCGTCCTGGCCAGTGGCGGTGCCCGCTCTGCGACAGCGTCTACAGCGTGGACGACCACGATTGCTGCGCCCAGTGCATGTGCGACCCGTCGGGCTTCCTCATCGAGAGCTAGTCGAGGGTACACACCGTCCTCCAGCATGGCTCGTTGTTCCGCGGATTTCCACGCGGGACGCGTGATGGGCAAACGATATATATATATATATATATATATATATATTATATATATATATATATATATAAAAAAAAAAAAAAAAAAAAAAAAAAAAAAAAAAAAAAAAAAAAAACAAAACAAAAAAAAAAAAAAAAAAAAAAAAAAAAAAAAAAAAAAAAAAAAAAAAAAAAAAAAAAAAAAAAAAAAAAAAAAAAAAAAAAAAAAAAAAAACCGTCTTTCTCTCCTCCACCCCTCTCCACCATGCTTCGCTCACACATTCCTCCAGCTCCACCGTGATCCACCCGCTCCGCCTCCCCCGATCACACTTGACCAGATAGCGCGCCACGACCACCCTGCGGGCCGAGGCCTCCCGCGCCCTCATCGTGCCCCCCCCCCCCCAGGACAGCGATGTTGCCTGGCTGGTCGACGAGCCCATCTCCGTGCAAGCGCCCCAGGAGCTCTAGGCCAGAAGGGAGAACGCGCGCGAGCCACGGTACCCTGGGAAAGGCATTCCAGGGGCCGCGACCTCCAGCAACGGGGAAACAGCATTAATGGGGAGCGTGGGGCCCGAGGGGCCTGGGGCAAGGGCCCCAAGGGGCAGTTTCCGTGGCCTGGGGCCTCCAAGGGCTCCAGGGGCCTCCAAGGAATTCCATGGACCCAGGCACCTCGCGTGGCTTGCTCACGTTCCCCCCAGCTACGCAAACCCGTTCATCAACTTCAGGGAGCAGCCCACGGCTGCGTCGGACCCGCCCTCGGATTGATCCGACGGCCCGCGGTGGTCTCTAGGTGCATCGAGAGGCCCAACGGGCCATCGACTGCGTCGGCCGACAGCCCGCGGAGATCTCCATGGGCCTCGAGAGGCCTGAGAGGTAATCGACTGCGTCGACAGACGGCCAGCGGGGATCTCCAGGGGGCCTCGAGAGGCTTGACCAGCAGTCGGCTTCACCTACATACAATTCGAATCCTTCGCTCCGAGGGCGCTGGATCCCGAGTGCCGCTTTAGCTTTTTTTGTTTCCCGAAGGGGCGGCTTCGCGCGGCTTGTTTTTTTTATCCGAAGGGGGCCTCGGGGGGCAAAAGACAGCTACCGACAGACAAATGACAGACAAATGACAGATCTGTCATTTGTCTGTCACCCCCACAAACGCACGATACATATAGCAGTTTTTGAACCCCCAGAAATGACAGACAGATGACAGATCTGTCAGTGTCTGTCAGGGTCAGAAAACACTGTAAAAAAAACACAGCTAAAGTGAGTCTGTCAGTGTCTGTCATTTGTCTGTCATTTGTCTGTCAGTGTCTGTCACCTACAAGTACACAGTTTTCATGAATGTATCCGGCAGAACCACTGGTGACAGACAAATGCCGGACAAATGACAGACTAATCTGAACCTTCGGAGCGGGGGCTGAGTGTCTCGGCTGCGCGTCGGCGAGCAGCCAGTTTGCTCGGTGGACGCGCGCTGGCCGCAGTTGGCGGCGCCGCGGCGGATGCGCGGTGGCTTCGCGCCACGCTTGGAAACGTTCTCTGTCAGCCCCTCTTACCTACCTCAACCTCACCCCCCACCCCTCGGGAGCCTGGTGGACCCGGTGACTTCCCGCAGGGGGCGCGAAGATGATCGCGCTGCGCGCTTCGCGGTTTAGACAGGGAGGTCGCCCTCCTCGGGGGATGCGGGAGAGCGCGAAGATCATCGCGCGTCGCGCTTCTCGGTCGGGGCAGGAGGGTCGCCCTCCTCGGGGGGCGGCGGGGGAGCGCGAAGATAAACGCGCTCGGCGCTTCGTGCAGCGCAACGCGCGAGCCTCGGCGCCCCAAGTCCGATGCCGAAGTTGCGGCACCTGATCGTGAATCAGGGGGTCGCGGGAGGTCTGGGGGTGGTTCTGAAACCGTTAGGGCTCAAGGCGAGGTGCTGTCCTGGCAGCGTTGTGACGCCCTCTCCCTGCTGCAGTCCCTCGCCATGCCGAAGGCTGCCACGGACTCCAAGGGCAAGGTTAAGGCCAAGGCGAAGGGCCACGCGAAGAAGGTCGACCACGCGACGGTTGGCAGCGGGGACGAGTCCGATCAGCCGCTGGTCACCGCGCCGCCCCCGAAGTGCATCGCGAAGCTGTGGAAGGACGCGGACCAGGACCCCGCGAAGCTGCAGACAATGCTTTCAAGCATGAACGCGCAGGACTGGATGGAAACTGAACGGAGACAAATGATGATGATGATGCTGATGCTGATGATGCTGATGCTGATGATGGTGATGCTGATGATGAGGCTGATGATGATGATGATGATGATCAGGAGGAGGAGGAGGAGGAGGAGGAGGCTCGGTGGTTGGACGGGGTAAGGAGAGGATGAGTATGATGTTAAGTGTGATCACATGCGCCCCGCCACGCCTCGCACGATTCGTGGCCCCACAGGGAGCTCCTCCGCCGAAGGCCCCAGTGGCTGTGATCACACCCTAAAGCTGGACGAACGCATTACATGAGGACGCCCCGAGACCACGGGAGCATCCCAAACCCAGCCCGAGACAAGCAGCACATACACCGAACTCGAATCAGCTATGCGGAGACCCCAGGACAAGAAGGCCCCGTTCTCGGCCATGAACACGTTCCTGAAGAACCATGCCCCCGCCACGCGCGCGAGGTATCTTGCGACGTGCGGGCACAGCGACGCCGAGAAAGTCCAGTGGCTGATGCGCTTCGTCATCGACCAGTCCAAGTGTATGCAAAGCCAAGTGCGTGGGCGTCCAAACCGTCCACCCGACCCACATCCCCATCAATTTCATCCTCGAGGTCAACGTCCTGGGGTTCCCCCCACATCAGCATCCAGCTTTTTCCAAGGTACCCCTCGTGTCCTTGCCTGTGGCCTGTCCTGTTCGCCAAGCTCGTTGGCCAGATGCTGCCCTCCGACAAAGGAAGAAGAAGAAGAAGAAGGAAAAAAAAATATATATATATATATATATATATTAAAAAAAACGGCCCAGAAGGGTCGTGCGTCCTTACCGCCCGTCCTTCGTGCACGTTGTGCTTGCAATCCTACCCGCATCCTCATGGAACCACGCAGGTGCGATACCAAGACCAAGAGGGCGAGGAGGGAGGGCATCATCGACGCCTGGGCGACGGAGTCGATCTTGGCTGGCCCCAAGTACCTCAACGACGCGGTGCCTCCGTGTGAAACGGGGGGGGGCGGTGCGACAGCGCAAGCTGGCCAATTAGCTGGGCAGGCGACCTACCTGCGCTCTGCGCTGCACATACGGACCCAGCCTACCGAGCTCTAGGCTAGCGACGGGCTGGACGCTGAAGTTGAACACTGAAGTCGGACGCTGAAGCGGGCCTGAAAGGGTAATGACGCCCACTCTGGCCTGAAACGCACAGGCCCACTTCAGTGTCCAGAATTCGTGTCCAGCATTAGTGTCCAGCCCGTGTTCGGACAGCGATACCGATGCGATGGCGAGGACGAGGAGGATATGAGAGCGAATGACGAGAGGATGGGACAAGGAGGATCATGCTCAGGACGAGGCGACGAGGAGCAAGGCCGAAACATGCGAGAAGGATGATCACGATGAGGAGGAGAAGGAGGAATCTGCAGATGACGATGCGGAAGGGACTGAGGAGGATGACGATGCGGAGGAAGAAGATGTGCGATGGGTCCGTTGCGTTGGTCTGCCCACAGGCGCACGCAGCTGCGATCGCGAAGGAGTTGCCCTCTCGCCCGCACAAGCGCTCGATGGCGCTTCGAGCGCAGGGGGTGCTCGAGTACCACTACGTGGCGGACGCGGAGGGCCAGCTGATCGACCAGACGTCGCACCCCGCCGCCGTGGAGGCCGAGGCGCCCATGAATCCCCTCGACGCGGTGAGGGTGCTTCAGGAGCGACCGCGCAACGCGGCCGAGGAAGAGGAGGAGGAGGAGGAGGATGACAGGAGCTTTCCTTGCGGTTTGGAACGGTATGGGCAACCTATACCTCCTCGACGCCATAGGTGGCGCGCTTTCGGGGGAAGAGCCGAAGCCGCCGCGGCTGGATTCTCTTCGAAACGCTTGGGGGCGGAGGGCAGCAGAGAGGGACGATGACGAGGAGGCCCAGTGGGGAGGACGGGCCTGCGCCCCTTCGAGCCCCGCAGGACATGCTGCTGGGCATGGACGGTTGGGACGCCGCCCTCGACGCGGTGCACATGGCGGGCTCGATGGCCCACGGCAACACGGCGCATGCGTCGACGGCAAGGTCGGTGGCTGTCGAGAGCGTCGCTGACTCGGCGGCGGCGTCGGCTCCCGAGGTCCCTGGCGGCAAGGGCGGCGAGCCCGTCGAGTCCGACAAGGACGCCAAGAGGAGGAAGAAGGCCGAGAAGGATGCGGCCAAGAAGGCCGAGACGGCCAAGCCGAGCTCTCCCAGGAGGAGCAGGAGAAGAAGAAGGAGGCCCGCGCGCTCGAGCTGCAGACCGACGAGGCGAAGAAGGCCATGGAGAAGGCGTTCCGGGATGTCCAGCAGAAGGCCACGGGGTTCGGCCTGACGTGCGAGGTGCAGGTGCCGCAGGTCGTGGACGCGCTCCTCAAGCGGGACTTCCCCAAGGAGACGGCCGACCACCTCAAGGCTGGGGCTGACGAGGTCCTCGACAGGGTGAACGTCTTCAAGCGCACGGTGCTGACCCAGCAGCCTAAGGTGGTTGAGCCCCCTAACTCCTCCCGCGTCGACCCCGCTGCAACCAGAAACGGCAACGTCCAGATGCACCCATTGCGTTCTTGCCTCGTCGACCCAGCCGCGGTCGCCCGAGGTCGCCCACGAACCGTCCAGGGGCTGTGCATCATTACCGCAGTGTTGAGTGTAATCTCACCGCCTGCTGCAGGGGAAGCCGACGATCAAGATGTGCCAGGATGCGGAGGAGCACGTGAAGACGGAGCTCGGTAAGCTGGTCGAGTCGTGGTCGAGCTTCGAGCGGCGCCTGCTCTGGAACGACATGAAGAAGGTAGCCAACGCAGGCGAGGCGGCGGGGCCGCATGTCAAGGCCTGAGGAAGGTCAGCAGGTGATCCTGCTCTGCGTGAGCTCTTTACAGCCGAGCCTGGCTTGGGTGATGCCAGGCAATTCGCACGGTTGCGTGCCGTGAAATGTATGTACAGGGATGGATGGGATGATCGGGTTAGGATGACATCTCGAGGTGAGAAGGCGATGAGAGGATGACGAGGTGAGGAGGCGAGGGGATGAGGCAAGGTGGAAAGGCGAGGAGGTGAGATGGGGAATGGGGATGGAGGACCAGGGTGGATAGCAATATCGCAAGTGCGAGAGCGAACATAGCAGACTAGATGTCACGCAACCGACTGCCCTGCGATCCTGATGGGTTGTCGACCAATTGTTGCAAGCGGCATTCGATCGGATCCGTTCGAATGCCGCCTGCCGAATCGTGTTGGATCGCGGGTCAGTCGGTCGCGTCATCTGATGGCGTTTCGGCTGGCAGCGCACGCGCGCGACGGCCGCCCAGCATGCCAGGCCGAGGGGTTAGGCAACGGCTGTTTGACAGAGACCGCAGCAGCAGCGCCAGCAGTGGCAATGCATCGAAGTGGATCCACCGCCTGTGGAGCAATGGGCGCGTGAGCTCGGTCGAAGTCGGCGAAGGAGCGAGGGCCAGCATCGATGACAATAAGTCGTGCACCACTTTGCAAAGCTGGAGGCGCATCGGCAAGCGTCCCACTACCAAGTCGAATGCATACAGGGACCACTCCCGGAAGCTATCCAAGGACCGTGTTTTCTTTCAGTGAACAGCGTTTTGTTTCGTAGCAGACTGCGCTGGCGACTGCGGGCGGGCATGTCATATGACGGACCAGTCTGTCATATGACAGACCAGTCTGTCATATGACAGACCAATCTGTCATATGACAGACTGGTCTGTCATATGACAGGCCCGCCTGCCAGTCGCGGCGCGCAGACTGCTGTGAAACACAGCGCCGCAAAAAGATGCCCGAGACGACCAAGATGCCACCGCCTTACCAAGCCAAAGTTCCACTATGGGACAAGCGCACTGGCAAGCAGGTCACGCGCGTCGTCAACTTCCCACTGCTGACAGAACAGTAAGACGTTACCATCGCACCAGGAGAAGAGATGGACTGGACGCACATGGATGAGCGACAGGAGCATACACAATAAAAAAACACTCGCAACGACACCACACGACAACTATACGGAATCCACATGCCGACATACACGAGGCTGTAATACACTCTCTAGCTCCACGACCCCTCCGATCCTGGAACGCCCCCGTGCCCACGAAGACAAATCGGTGAACTGAACGATGCTGCAATGCACATCTCCGCCCAACACCCCTCAAACCCACACCGTCTTTCCCCGACCTTCCGTGAAGGAGCCGCCCCGCGAGGCGGCGCACGAGTGGTCAGACAGAATAGGCTTCGACCGAGCTGCCACTGACAAGCTGATATTGCGCGGGTTGTGGGGGGATGGCGCGCCTTATCACACGCGAGACTCTATTGACCTATGGACCCTCACTGCGCTCACGGGAAAGTACCTGTGGCGCGACAGAACCGTGGGATTCCTCACACCCCGCCCCGCCCCCCGCCCCGCAATGAACGCTTGCGTTCCTCGAGGGGGGAGGGGGCTCGAGCAAGCCATGGAGAGAGAGAGAGAGAGAGAGAGAGAGAGAGAGAGAGAGAGAGAGAGAGAGAGAGATAAACAGCGAGCCAGATATATACAGCGAGAGAAAGCTGTACATAAGAGAGATAGATCGAGATGTGTGTATATAGAGAGAGGGAGATAAGCGGAGGGGGTAACACCACTCGAGGGCCGCGCGTGTGATGTGGCTCACCGTCCCCCCCAGGTCTCGCAAGCGTTTTTGGTTTGGGTGCTTCGGCAAGCGCCAGACGTGCCAGTGCGGGTGCGCAGGCAAGTGCACGTTCACGGAGGCCCGAGTTCCGTTTGCGTCGATGTTTGGCCGTCATGCTCCTCCCGATCTCGTCCCCCTCCTCCCCCCACCACAACCATAATTGGCTTCCTCCGTCACGCTCTCTGCCGCCTCTCCTCCCAACCCGCTCCTCCCCTCGTCCTCGCCCCCTCCTCGCCATTCCGCTCTCAATAGGGGGGCGGCCGAACGTCGGCGCCAACGAACTGCCGCGGTCGCGTTTGAATACGGCGGTCACCCCTGCCAACGCTGGGACGGCTTAGAGGTTCTATTTTTTTGGCGAACCTGGAAGTCCCAGCGTGCGGCAGCGTTGACAGCCCGCCTCCCGCCGAGAGGTTTGGCGCGTTCTCGGGTGGATGTTCACGTATTGGCTGGCGGGGAAGTGGCCGTCAAAGCGGCACGACGATTTACCATTCGCAGACTCCCCGTACTGGGGTGATCGGGATAGGGCTGCGAAGGCAGCTCACGACATGAGGATACCTAGGGGTGCGTGCATAGATATTCGCGGGGACTGGGCGTGGTACAAACAAGTCTTCAATGTGACGGGGTGGAGGGGGGGGCCTCCCACGGCGAGAATATGTTATCGGTGTGCTTGCACGGTCGAGCAGATGGGAGAGTTCGGGAGACATGCGCGATGGCGCTCCACAATTTACACGGCTAAGTCGTACCTCGAACTATTGATACACGGCACCTTGGACATGGACCTGGAACCGTTAGCACTACCAGGGTTTTCGTGGAAAATGTTGCGCCCAGGGTTAATGCGCGTCGCTGTCTGGGCGTCACGTCCGAGGTCAATGGGAACGTGCTGTGGGAGGTGTTTAAAGAACTAGGCGGAGCCAGGTCCAATCCGCTGGAGGCGCCGCTCTGTGCAGAACGAGTTTCAGCGCAGGCGCATGCCGTGGCATCAGCCCTGTGAGCGACGCACGCGGGATGCGGCGGAGAAGCCACAAGGCTGTTGTCATGGATGGTGCAAACGCTGAAGCACGCTTATAGGTTCGGCGCCATCCTTCGCTCTCCACCTTCCTCTCACTCTCCCTCCCTCTCCCTTCGCCCTTTCACTCGCCTTCTACACCCCCGTTCCCTCTCCCCAGCTCCCCCCCGCCCACAATTTCTCCCACCTGCTCTTGGCGGGGAAAGGTGCGCGACAGAGGGGCAGCCCTTCCCCATTCCGTCCATTCACCGCCCACCACCTCTTCACCCTTCGCCTCGCCCTCCCTGCCCCGCCCATTTCACCCCTCCTGACCACGCCCTTCCCCTCCCATCGTCCTCGCCTTATTCCTGATCTGGCGTTGGTTCCGCCATCTTGTGCGGTGGAGCCCTGGACCCCAGGTGCCGACGAAGCTGGAGCTTCTTTTGGATCTGGCTGCGCGAGCTTTGGGCACGACGTGTCCGATCCAGCACCTCACCCTCGGCATGATTCGGGCGAAAGCAGGCAAAGCACCGAAACTCAAAGCGAAAGCAGCCGAAGGTAGGCACATGGTCCCGATAATCGAATATATGCTGGCGAATCTCCTTCCGCGCACTACGCCCCGTTCCCAAGCACGGACGGCGAGGGGGTAAACGGAGGCGGGATGGAGGCGGGAGAGGGACTGGACGAGGGTGGATACGGGGGACACGTCCGCCTCGAGGATGAGATGCGCGATGCTGCTCGCGAGAACATACGACGAGTGCAAGAATTGGGATCCTGCGGCGAGCCCGTTTAGAGAGGCAGATCTCGCACGCAAGCACTTAGAAAATTACAGGGTGATGCGGGATCACTACGCCCTGGATGACAAGGCTTGGGGGATCAAGCCGAAGCACCATATGTTTCTGGAGCTCGCCGAAGCGTGCTCGCCAGGAAACCAGACGGACCGAGAGGGGCAAGGGTGTCTTCGGCCCGTTCTCCATCTCATTTTTCCGATCCCGCATTCTCTCTCTCTCTCTCTCTCTCTTTCTCTCCCTCTCCTTCGCCGCCCTCCCCATCACCATCTCCCCCTCCTCCTCTCTCTCCCCTGCCCCTGTCTCCCCGCCCGTTTCCATCCTCCACCTGGCTCCAGCAGGATCATTGGGAGTACATGGACGAATCTGAGATTGGAGCCTGCTCTGAGTTGGCTGAGACGGGGCGCCCTTCCCTGTTGCACGTGCGCGTCATTGAGAAACACCGCTTGACGAGTGCCAAACTCTGAAAACGTAATTCCCAGCCAGGCTGGGTGACAGACGGGGCCTGTCATAAGACAGACCAGTCTGTCATATGACAGGCCTGGGGTGGCAGAGAAGACGGGTACGGGGACGGTGCGTAAAGAAACCTAGATAGGCAAGGCCCTCTCCCCCAAAAGCTCGTTATCTTCGTCCACCTCTTCCTTCCCTCCCCTGCCCCCCAGATCCCGACGTCGTTGTTGTTTTACCGCGAAGCGGCCCCTCCTGATGGTCCAGCTTTTCATCGCGAATCGTTGCGCGACGGTCCCAGGGCCCGTTGGCGGCCCCAAGGAGGCCAACGACATCGAGGGCACCAAGAAACATGGCCAGAAAACGCCCGTCGTCGTCGGAGACCTGGGGAAGAGGTCGCGGAGGAGGAGGAGGGCCGCAGGAGGGCCTCTTCCCTCGGCCGCAGGGCGCTGCTGCTCTTCCCCCTTTCACATAACCGACGTCGCGGGAAACATACTATGTGTTTTGTTCCTTCGGAAGGCCCTCAACGGGCCTTGGGACCATGAACATTTGCCGCAAGGACCCACGGAAGAGAAAAAACTGGGTCCACTGCGAAAAAAAACGACGTCGGGATGTGGAAGGTGTTCTTCTGCTCTCTCTCTCTCTCTCTCTCTCTCTCTCTCTCTCTCTCTCTCTCTCTCTTTCTCTCTCTCTCTCTCTCTCTCTCTCTCTCTCTCTCTCTCCCTCTCTCTGTTGCCTCTCTCTCTCTATATCTCTCTCTGTTTCTCGCGATGTGTGTAAGATGAGGATATAATGACAGAGATGTGTGTATATGATGGTGGTGCTATAAATAGCGTGTGTGATGGTATATATATATACATAACCATATAAACGAATACATATATACATACACAATTATATGCATGTATACATGTGTAAATATGTATATATACATACATATATATATACATATATA